CTTGATTAAAAATTTGGTCTATGTGGACCAAATAGACAGTTCCCTAGCTTGTCGTGCATTCTTTCCAAAAATCAGGACTTTTTAAAAAGCGGGACGCCTGGTCACCTTACACTTAAAACAAGTCGAGAGGCAGTAGTATTCTTACCCCATTTCCCAGGAGTAAACAGTGCTATTCGCGGCATAGGTCCCTGGGCGTGCAAAAGCTTGCACTTGACTACTGACCAGAAGGCCTGCTGTTAGAACCCACACTCTACAAAAGGAAGGGCTAGTGGTCTGCTTCCGGGAGGTTTACAGACAACCCCCCCCAGGGAGCTTAGTGCTACTCTGTGACAAGAGAACAGGAATGCCTTCAATAGCCCAAGGTTAGGCTTAGTCAGCAGCCCGGCTGACTGGGTCCAAAGCCCCCTGCTCTTTCCACTACAATTCCTTTCGCTGAGTTTTCAGTTCCTCGCTTGTGAAATGACCACCTAAGCTCATCATCACAGACCCTGAAAAAGGAATGACCTTAATCCTGCGACGATTACACAACAGTATCACACACTGGCGGCGTTGCACTTTTAGGAAGCCTGGCCCCAAGATTGAGAACTGGAATCCCAAATCGGTGAAAACCAAGGATAAAAATACCAGGTCAGACCTCTGGGCCAACAGGAAGCAGTGCTCCAGTGGACCCCAACCAATCTGGTTGTTACATCCTGCTTCCTCCGCCTCCTCCCAGGCAGTTTGATCTTCAGAAAGTCCCTTCCCAACCCTGGCCTCCCACTCTCCCGCTCCCCCGCAGCACATGGCTGCACAACCCTTTCTCTTTAATCACTCTCAGCTTGAGGCAACACCAAGGGATTGTTACTTCACATTCGAAATTACACACTCAATGGAGTCACACCATCCTCTGTCTCAACTTCCTCTCTATAAAAGTGGGGCTAATGCTACCTTAGGGAGTTGCTGTAAAGATGAAAGCAGAATGGATGGGAGGCATTTAACACTGTGTCAGACACACAGTAAACACCATGAATGATCAAGAGTTCCCTCTCTGCGATACTCTTTCCTTTCCCCTTTTCTATATTTGAACCAGCCCCTTCCACCTCTTAGGGAACAGATGAAGTTAATTACCCTCAAAAAGTTATGTGCTTTTGCTGGGAGACTACTGACAGCACTAACACCACCAGGCCAAGGAGCGGTTGTAAAGGGCTCTTTATTCTCGCTGAGCCAGCGAGGTCTGTAGCTACCAATGGCAGAGAGGAAAAGTTTTGCTACACAGAACAGTATTGTTAGCCGAAACTGACCCATGTGGGTGCTGATACCAGTTATGAACATCTGTTCTAGTAAAGTGTTATGCAAATACGCTTAAGGGAGCACATGCTTATCACAAGGGTAAGGAACGGCTGCTAACAGCAAGGTCAACAGTTTGAAACTACCAGTCAGCCTGTAGGAGAAAGAAGAGGCTACCTGCTCCCATAAAGATTTACAGGCTTGCAAATCCAAAAGAGGCAGTTCTACTCTGTCCTATAGGGTCACTATGAGTCAGAGTCGACTCGATGGCAGAGAATTTGGCTTTCCGTTGGATCTCGTAAAGGTGTACAATGGCCTATTAAGTACGAGAGCATCTTATGGAAATCCACAGCTACTAGGACCATAGTAAAACTGGATCTCCTAGAGTCTAGAGGGAAAGTCTGGCAGCCCATACCCCTGACTGTTGGAGTTCATGGGCTTTTACTCATTCCAAGTCTTAGCCGTGCTCCATGGACCCACTCCACTCTCCTCTTCCCTCAAGTCTACACAGACTGTCTACCTCAACCCTACTGCTTCCCCTACAACCAGCTGGCCAGCACTCCTCCAGCTCCCGACTCAACCCCCACAGCTTCTAGCTCTACTTCATTTCAGCATCCTGAGACCCCCCCGCTGAGATTTCTGAGCTAGATCAGGAATCCTTTTTCTACCAGGTCACTTCACAAGGCCCCTGGGGAGCCCAAGAACTGGCCGCTCTTGGGCTGTTGCCCACCTTTGCTTCAGTATGTTTGACTGTGGGTGGGTGGTGGAACGTGATTTTAGGGTAGAAAGCTGGCTAGGATAGGGCTACTCCTACATGAACAAGTGTTAAGGGCTAAGGCATTTCCCTGAGAAAGGGCTATGGACATAGTAGCGTGAGGGCTACCAAGGTGATTCCACGTCCACATCCCCCCTCGGACTCAATCTAACCTCTGCGGTTACGGACAATCAAGATGCCCCCAGCTGACCACGTCCATGTGGCAGAAGGAAGAGCTGGTTTGACCAGACTCATCACGAGAAAAACAAAACTAGTGAGCGCCAGCTGAAAGTGTTTGGAAGATAATGAAAATGATATTTTCAGAATGGGATTAAATGGGATTAAAACAAATGAACTAAGTATTCAGCTTATGAACAAAGAAAATAACAAAATTAATTGAAATAGAAGGGAGGAAAAAAATAAAAGAGCAGAGGTGAGTAAATTAATTAAACAGAAAACGAGCCTATCAAAAAGGCATCACTGAAGACAAACACTGGTCTCCTGAGAGTGGTGACGAAGAAGCAGGGAAGGCACAAGGACACACGTAGAACAAAAAGGGGGTTGTTGCTGTGGTCGGTGCCGACATTAATCCAGGAAAACATTATAAATGCCATATAAAAAAATGAAAACCTTTAAAAGGGGCAGAGCCCTCGACTTAAGAGATGAAATTAAAACTAACTCTCTAGGCCCAGGTGGCTTCACCTTTGAGTTCTATCAAATATTCAAGGCAGAGTACGGGAAATGGAAAGGGTGGTGGAGGAGGGGCAAATGGTAGGTTTGGTGAAATCTCTGGGCCGCCTGCAACAGCAAGGGTTGTAGTTGCCCCACTAGCCTCCGTCTTGTAAGTTTTCTCAGCCACTGTTACCAACCAGAACACTAGAGAAGATGTAACTGGATGGAGTAAACTTACCACAACAAGAATGTCTGACTGGACTGGTGCAAGGGGTGGACTGTAAAGAATACTACTGGTAGCCAACCCAGCTCCTCCTCTTTATTGGCTAGCACACTCGCACCCTAGCTCTAAACTGACAGGTATAAAATGTCATATTCTGGAAGGAATAACCGTTACGGGCTGTGCTGCAATCCACAAGGTTGGTTGTTTGAAACTGGCCAGCTGCTCTGAGGGAGAAAGAGAGGTTTTCTATACCTGTAAAGAATTCCAGTCTTGGGAACTCCACAGGGGCAGTTCTACTCTGTTCTATCGGATTGCTATGAGTCAGAATTGACTTGATGGCAGTGAATTTGGTTTTGGGTTTGGTCATACTGTGATTAAAAACTAAAATATGTTCCTTTCTTCGGAGAATTACCCCTTAAACTATGTGTACCTCTCTTCCCATCCTACCGCTACCTGGCTTCACTCAATCTTCTGTTTCAGAGAATTTCTTCCAATATGTCATGTGAAGAATAATCACGTGACATAGTGCAGGCCCTAAGACCGTAACTACTTCAGAGGGTAAAAAGAGCATTTCAAAGTGGAAGAAGAGACTTGTAACACAGATAACTGGCAAGGGACCACTACCTCAAATATATAAATACCTCTAACAAATCAGTAAACATTGAAAAACAGGGCAGAAGACTTGACTGCACAAGGCACCAGAGGCCAGGTAAGTTGGCAAAAAGCAGTAACTAAGGGCAGCAAATTAAAACCACAAGGGATATAACATTACACACCCAGGAGAACAGTTAAAAAAATTAAACTCATAATATCAGATATTCACAAGGATGTGATGCAACTTGAACTCTCATCCTGGTGAAAGGAAAACAAACTGGGACAACTGCTTAAGAGAACTGCCTGTAGCAGAGCGTTTCCACTCCAGTGCATTTAACTGAAGAACTGTGTGTGCATGGCCTGGCGAAGGTGTCAGTTTTCTTAGATGCACTTATTCTCGGTCATCAGAAATTATAAGCACCCCAAGTGTCCATCAACTACAGGATGAGTAAGTACACTGTGACACCTTCATTCCATGAAACACTGTATGGCACGGAAGTGAAGTGAGCAACTCGCGGACAAATCTCACACACACAGAGAATGTTAAGCAAAGGCAGCAAGACGCAAAACACACAGCATTTTATACGCACGAAATTCAAAAGCTAGAAGCATTACCCTTTCGTGGTTAGGATGCAAAGAAAAGGGGTAAAAACAATAAAGAAAAACAAATAAATTATTATCACCAAAGTCAAGATGGTGGTTTCTTAGGGGAAGGGGGAGGAGGCACACTAAGGATATTATTTGCAAAGTGGCGGTACTGTGTATTGGCAATGTTTTATTTCTTGACCTAAGTAGTAGTTACATATTCCTCTTGTAAGTATCAAATTATATGTTTGGGCTTGTTATGTTTCATAATTTTAATAAGTGTAAAACAAAACAAATACGTATATGGATTACTGTTTGATTCTTAGGAAAATGGAAGGAACTGAACATTTTTCATCTTTAAACGAAAACTCTGCATTCCAAATCCACACTAGAATGTGTATCGGGTACATTTCAAATGGTGTCTGCTTATCTTCATTCTATACCGGTGGAGTCATCTGATAGGAAGCGTACGGTGATGAGGCACCGAGTCCTGGGGTCGGCGGCTTATGGAAGGTTGCCATTCCTGAGAATCCCTGGAAGGTGAACCCTGGCGAAGGAGTGGAGCCAATTGCCAAAGGAACAGGAGTTAGCGTTACGAAGGGCTCCTACCCCTTATCCAAGGGTTGAAAAGAGCAAAACAAGCCTCTGGTGTGGTCTGGGGTGACCCTGACAAAAGCTGCTAGCAGGAAAGAGCTGCAGATGTCCCTGAAGGGGACTCACCAGGAGATGGAGGAAACCCAGCCCGGTGCCAGGCTCCACACCAGGCCCAGAGCACAGTGCTCTGGGAGGCATGGCTAAGTGTTAAGCATGAGCTAACAGAGATCTAACCTTGGGGTCCAAGCATGGGATCGTGCTGGCAGGGATCTGGTCCAACAAAGGTGTTGAGCAGCAGTGACCCCACATCTTTGGACAGGGCGGGCCAGCTCTTCAACAGGGAAACCTTGTAGCTGTATCAGAAATAACAGTGTGGGCGGGTGATGAGGACCTGCAGCTCTCTCCCTGGAGAGTGGAAGTAAGACTGCTTTTGACTGTCTACGCACCCAGCAGGGTTGAAAAAGGTAACATCTGACATCTCCCTTATGAGGGCGTTCGGGGGGCTTGGGTGCTTACGTGAAAAAATAATTAAAGATTCATAATTATTGCTAATTAAATAAGACATACAGGTAAAACATCTGTACTGAAAGAGGTAAAATCTTAATAAAAATGTCTTCCTGTATATGTACTTTTATGAACATAATACCAAAGATTTTGATATGTGGAGAAATGACGAAATCACTAAGCTAGCAGAAAGAGGGAAAATTTAGCTGGTGTTCAAATCAAGGCCCACGACAGGTAACTTCAAAGGAGGTTGCTTCACTAGAGCCAAGTGAAATAACAAAAGGCTTCTGTACCATCTAGGATAACTGTGGGGCCGAGACACAAGGCACTGGGTCCGTCCACAGCTTCCGTCCACAGTATGCAACAGCTCTTTAGTTGCCCAGGACCCCATCCTGCCCTCGCTGCGCAATCTGCCGGCTCACTGCCAGAGCTCCCAACCACGGGTCCCTTGAAAACCGGACAGCGTAGGTATGCGCCCTCCGTTTTATCCCCCTAGAGATTCCGAGGTCCCCACGGCCATTTGTTTTGATCTCAGCCTCCACCTGCTCCCACGACTCTTGGAGCAGCTACCAATGCACATTTGAGGAAGGAAGGAGGGAGGGAGGAAAAGAGAGAAGATCATTGCAACTGGAAGGCAAAGACCAACTCAGAGGACCACCCCACCCCAGGAAGCAGCCACCCAGAGCCCAAGCTGGCTGCTTGACCAGGGATTAACAGCTGCTTGTGCGGTACAAATACAATTCCCCTGATAACCAGGGAAACGAAAATGCAGCCACCACACTGAGGGTTGGCTGCGTTCAGACCTCTAAAATATGAGAGTTGGACCTGAAAAGTCAAAGAAATCCAAGTCCTGCCAGCCCAAGGGATATCCTTCCCTAAAAGCCCTGACCAAAAAGTATGTTCTCTAATATCTAAAATCTCCACCCCGCCCCCAACCCCCCCAAGCCAGAGCCCTGCCGAAGAACCATGAAACAATTCAGGCCACCCCATGAAACAATTCAGGCCACTCAGTGTGCTCTGGCCTCTGGGACCAACTGCTATGAAGCAAGCTCACTGAGAGCTGCAACTTATTATTATAAAATGTACTGAGGACCAGAAGGGAACTGCATCTACAGCCACCAATCTGTTATATAACCTCAAACACAGCATATGAAAAAAACCCGATGGAGGCAGGGACCATCTCTGTGCTGGTCACAGCTCGAATGCTGGATCCTGGAGGCTGCACAAGCACACAGTAGGTGCTCCATAAGTACTGGCTCAATAAGTGAACTAAGATCAGAATGGAGGGGAAGCGTCATGCTCAGTCTCACCATCCGGGACCAACAACTCTGTTGGGTCCTACACGAAGTCCCGCTCAGGGTCCAGTGTCCCCATTTGCAAAAAGAGGCAGATGGGTGAGCTGCTCTGCCCGGCTTCTGCCAGCTCTGCCAGTCAATCACTGTACTGCGCTTTATTTAGTGGCAGCACATGCCTGGCACTTTTCTTTCCCCTCAGAGAGAATCTGATACCCATTTGCTCATGTAGATTAATGTTCCCATCCTGCCTGACTCCTTTGGTAGGAACAACAGGTTCATCTGCCAATTTAAAGAGAAGGTAACAAGGGCCCAGAAAAAGTCAAGGAGGATGGGCCCCACATGCCTGCTTTCTTAGAAAACCAAACCTGCCCTGTTTTGTTTTGTTTTTTAGGGCTAAAGATACCGAAACTGAAGTATGGTTACTGCTACTAACCCCACGCATGTGAACCACTCTCTAGCTTATTAATAATACTTACATTAATAGCCCTCTTTACTGAACACGTCGGTGCTGGGCACTGTTCTCAACCCTTTCGATGGAGTCCTCTTAGCAACCGCTCCAGCAAAGTGTGATTTTATCACCAGCCCCCCTTGAGAGGAGGACTCTCTCTGGTTCAAGGTTGCAGAGCTGGAAAACGACAAAACCAGGTCTTGAATCCAGGTCTGACCGACTCCAGACAGAGTCCTGGCTCCTTAAATGGCTTTTCCCTCGGTTCTTCGCTGCATTCCCAGGAGAGCGACTGGGAAGGGGTTGTCGCCTTCACTTTAAAGATGGAGAACCCAAGTCTTCAGGAGGCTGGCGACGCGTACAAAATGCCTGAGCGATTCCGCAGATAAGGAAGCCTGGCCCTGGCCTCGCCTCGGGGTCCCACGAGTCAACGTCGGTCTCGTGGACTTCACTTCCTTGCCAACCCCTTGGGCGAAAAGCACCCGCGGACACCTACTCTCCGGGCCCGGTCTGACCGGGTGGGAACGCGATGCACAGCTCGGGCTCCGGGTACCCCTAACCAGGGTGCGGGAAGGCCGGGGCGTCCCGAGCAGATGCTCAGTCCCCGCCAGGGC